AAAGGGACTTACCCTTTATATAAGGGGTCCAGAGGGGTCAAGAGGCTTGCATCTATAGCTCATTGATAATATTATGTAAATCAAAGGAATTTCATTAAGAGAGAGAATTAAAGCATGATATCATTATGTTTTAACAATGATCATAGTCAAAATCATATCTCATCTTATCGAAAATTCGGACGGAAGACCTACTCGTTGCTCTCAACGAGATTTTTTTCTTTTTTATTTTTTGCTTGGGCGTACGTTAAAGAGCTGATATACTTTTACATTGCAAGAAATCTTAATCACCGCGACGCATAAGTCTGCAGAAAAACTTCTGTAGAGACGTCAAATTTTAGCATACGACAACATTTCAGATATCAAAAGTAAGTGTGAAATGTAGTCTTACAAAAACTAAAAAATTGTCTAAAATAGATATTTAAAACTCTTGAAGATATTGGAATATTTTTGTGTTTTCATTTTCTTGTTTCAAATACCCATTCTAAACACTGATATAAATCCATTCTTCGTTATTTCCTTAATTGTAAAGATAACATATTATATCACCGCTTAATAAACCGGCGGAGGGGTATATAGTAATGGTATGTTTGTCCATCCGTTCGTCTGTACGTCTCTCCGTCTAGCTGTACGTCCGTTCGTTTGATACGTTTCTGGGCATCCATTTCTTATTCACAACTCCTCTTCTAAAGGACTGAATGCAATTTGATCAGGCTTTACAGAATTTAATGAGGCTTTAACAGAATCTTTGTTAAATTCTGCCAAAGTGCACCTTTTATTAAACTTGCACATAATTTGGACTCCCTTAGCATTGCATGGATACTGCGATTATTCCTAATATCGAAAGAGTTAATCTATCTCTTATCCGTCATTCATACATTCCACTGAATAAGATTTAATTATACTTTCAAAAATTCTTTATTACATTGTGCCATTGTGCATGTGACCTCTTATTTTACTTTTGATCTGACTTGTAATTCGGGTCATAATATAGGAGGCATGGGGCATCATTATTATTTTTTGTAACAAATAGATCAGGAAAAACAACACTTAAGACTCTTGGTTGCAATATAGATGGTTCGCAAAATAACTTTCAACAGGAAGTTATTACGGAAGTTATTACAAGCTTCATACAAACATGCTATTTAAATAGCTATTCTTGTGTCAATTATGAAAAGAATTTACACTGCAATATAACATATGAGATTGCTTAAACTTACCATGAAACTACATATGTTGCCAGATATTTCTATTTTCTATTTACACAAAGTCTTATTGAATCCGACTAAGCACACTTTGGTCGGTGCGCTAGCCATGTTGCAGTTATTTCTTTTACACTTGTTGAGAATTTCTATAAATGATACATGCTGAAACTGTTGGACAATAATTCATCGAATCATGTCCTTCAGATATCAATTTTAAAACACCCCAAGTCCTAATTGTACTCAGAAATAAAAAAAAAAATAAATCTGAAAGTTAAACAGATTGATTCTCAGGTTGCCTTAGATATGAAATAAATGTGAAAAAACTTAATGCATCATTTCTTTTTGTTGTAAGATTTTTCGTCTTCCAATCCTAAAACAAGAAACAGAAATCAATTTGAACATTTGTAGAAAGAACACAACGGAAAACATAAAAATGCTGTTTTGTTTAAATAACTTTAAAAGTAAATGATGAAATTATTTAAAATAAAATACATTTCATTTAGAAATATCAATGTATTTTGTCATTTCTTTAGGTTTAAAATTGCCTTTTTTATCAAAATCAATAGACCTTTGATATGCTGCAGAAGATTTAAGGGGGATCTCTACAATGTAACAATATGGCGCACTTCCATCGAAACGCCATTTTGGTCCCAAATGATCTGATTCAAATTCACTTAACACCGATAAATCACTGAGTATAACACAACATGAGATATTGTGGCTGGAATGTACATTGTATCACCTCAATTAAAAAAATGTATAGATAGTTTTCGATGGACCTAAATTTAGCAAGAGTTCCTCCCCGTTGGCTGTCATACTGGAGGTCCAAATGCTCACATTCCTTCATTGTTCAATCAATTTTAAAAATTTTATATTTTCGATATTGAATAAGGAATAACTATCCTACTGAAGTATATAAATTTTTTGGAAGCCTCCTTTATTAAAAAAAAAAAGTATTTGATAAAGAATTTCTACCAAATATTTCTGCTTTATGTTCTTAAACTTGAAAAGACAAAGAGGAAAACTCACAAAGTCGACCTCCAATATGATGGCCAACGGGAGGTAACTTTTGCTAAATTTAGGTCCATCGAAAACTATCTATTGCCCAATACGTATACGTTCTTTAAAAATGAATTGTATTTCAATTTATTCAATTAATTATTAAATAATACATTTACAAACTTATACTGAAAGAATAAGATTTTTAGGTGAAAAAATGATATAAAACATGGCTTGTCCATATGCTAATTCCTCATTACGTGTCAAAACGCTATACACTCCGATTTTTTTTCTTCAATAAACATTTATGCTTTCCAGCAAAATATATCCCCCCAAAATGCAAATTTTATAATATAAGGCATATGTATTATCTTCAAATCGCTTAGAGGATACTCAGTTTACGAATTGTATACGCCCAAATGATTGGTTATACCCAGTGAAATTTAAACTCTTCATGAAATCACGAAAACGTTTCGACAGTAAGTTGAATTTTGCATGACCCAAATGTTTGATCAACATTGATGATCAGCTGTTTGTATGGGAAAAGTGCAGGTTTTAGACGAAGTGTGAATTTGGTCATAGGAATTTCTTTTACCTGCTATTGGCCAATTACCTGTTTACATATTTTGTTTTATCTAGCACTGTATAATACATGCAAGTTGTATAAAAACTGTTAGTAAATCTACCTTTCTCAATACAATGAATTCACTAAATACATGTCTTCGGCATTGACTGGAAACGTGATGGTTTTCGCTTAAACTCATTTGAGAAACAATACATGTAGAAAACGAACTTCTTTCAATGTCATTGCTTGAATTTTTTTCAATATTTGTGCAAGTTATATAAGAGTTTATTTGAAGTTTATGAAGAAAACAATACCAAAATATTTGAGTCCACTCTTGAAGCGGATCTCTCATACCTAATTTTTTGTGATGTAACTGATGTTTGAAATTTTTGATAGTTTTTCAATTGTGTTCAATTTCTTTTTTTCATTGTTTTTACCCTTTGATATTATATATCTTTTTAGATATTGGAGAAGATCCAACCAGTTATTCTCAAGAAAATGCTGTTTAAGTTTTGTTTTGTCTCTTTTTGCAAATTTAAAGAAAAATTATGCTGAATTTATTCTTAACTTTGTTGATTATTATTTCAATATTCTATAACATTAAACTTAGAAGAGTTTAACTGGGATTTTAAAAAATGTAGAAAGGAGGAGGGGTTTTAACAAAATAAATTAAATTATAATAATTTAAATATTTTTGAAAAATAGTTTGAAATACTTTGGAACCTTATTTTTTCGGATATTGCGCTTATTATTAGATACAAAGCATGCAACAAAAATCAGCAATACTTTATAGGTGTAGAGATCCTCTTTAAATACAACGAAGAAGAAAAGAAGTGTTTGCGTAGGTCTTGTTTATTTATTTCCCCCATTGGTTTCTTATGTCGTAAAAAAGACATCCAATTGAAATGACTCACCCTTGAAATGTAGGTATTTGAGGTTTTGAATTAAAGGGGGCCTGGACACAGTTTCAACTGATTTTTTAAAACCAATTTTAATGTTTACAATTCCTACACTGTACCTTAGGCAACATCTATTGATTAGCAGAAATTTTTCATCATTTGGTAATAAAAAAAAAATAAAGTAACAGAACTTAAAGTTCTTCATAATGAAAACAAGGCTTGTGTTGATTTTAACATCGTTTAACTTGTATATCATCACCGATAATGACGTAATATGCTTATTTTAGTCATGTGACAGGTGCCCTTTCTCCCCTTAATTTATCTGTTTCCTTATTCAGTGTTTACAATTAAAAAAAAATTACACATGTAACGAAATCACCAAATTCAAAATTGTTGAAAATGAGGCCAAGGGGTAGAATTCAAAGCATGCACAGACACATCTTGTTACAGGTAATGCATATGTCAAATTTGAAATCCCTAAACTTTTCTCAATTAAAATAGAATTTAGAAATGTAGGTTGAACTTCGAGGTCAAGGTCGCATAGTCAAAATCGTGGTAAATATAGAAAGACTTGCATATTTCTACAGGTAATACTCATCTTAAATATTTAAGTCCTATCGTTTTTATTCAAAGGTTATGAAAAAGTTTAAAGTTGATTTTTTTTTACACAAGAATGAGATTTAATTTTCCCTTACTCTCACAGGAGCAGGAAATCATCAAATATTAGATGTTTTATATAATTTCGTTTGTCCATATGCTGATGGAAGAGCCGTTGCTTAAGAATTATATGCAGGTGGCTTGCCCAGTGCTGTTAACTGACTGATAGAATGAAATCATGGTTTTCTAACGATCTTATACATATTAAATGGTTGTAAATATTATATATATATATACACACACACATATATATATATATATATATATATATATATATATATATATATATATATATATATATATATATATATATATATATATATATATATATATATATTGAAATAGTACAGATACAGTCTATTGAATACATCCCACTTATTTAATAAGAACAAATGCTTATTATGATACAATAAAATCTTTCTGCGAAATATTTAGTTGTATCGTGTTTTAAAGACACTTTAAGCAAATTAATTTGTACTGAAACATGTAATTCTGTGGTACAATTATAGAATGCAAAATGTATACACTCGCTTTGTGTAGGATAAAAACAGAAAAAAAGAGAAATGCGGAAGAAATAGTTCTAAAAGTACTTTAAATGTGGGAAGTATTAAAAACTGATTTAAAATTTAATCTATTTGATGAAAATTCATTCCCTTCAAATATAGTATGAAGTATGTCCATGCTTATAGCTATCAGGGTTATTAACTTTTTTATTTGGATTGATGTTGATTTTCAGTCATTTTATCTTGTTCAGTTGCCTTCATGCTGTTTCTGGACAATTTGGTCGATGTGGCGGGTATGTCAATGTTTTATTGTACGTAAAAGACTTGGCGTAGACTTTAAACATCGGGTTTTTGTTATATATTTTTTTTCTGTTATTCAGTGGTCTTAAACTTTCAAGGGATATGTATAATTTTCATCTTAATATGTCTATTTCCTTTTTTATAAACATTTTTTTAATTCCCCACTTTTAATAATACTACAAAAAGTTGCACCACTTTAATAACAACTGATTTTATTCCTTATGTGCAAGTTCGGGAAACTAACGTTTACACTTATAAACCGTGATGTCATATTATGAACATTCTTTCAATAACGATATACATGTATTATTAATTTATTTATGATTAATTTGAAATAAGAGTATGGAATATATTGCTTGATAACATTACGATTTTTTTTTTTATCAAATTAAGTTTAATTTTGAGTTATTAGATTATAACATGCATTCAATTACATTTATTATAGAATAAAGTGTTTTTTTGTGCTTTGTATGCCTAGGCCTTTGATATGCTGCAGAGGATTTGAATTAAATGAGGAGAAAAATATATGTTTGCGTAAGTTTAATTTGATTTATCTGAAAAAAGCAAATGTTGTGGTTTAAAAGTGCTTTGTCCATTTAGGAACTAAATGATTTTTTCCCTATGTATTTAGCGTGTGAGTATCCAATGTATGGGATTGGATGCAGAGAAAAATGTAACTGTTCTAAAGACAATTGCAGCGTTTTTAATGGCTGCACGATGATGTCTCCTACAAGTAAGAAACATGCTTTAAATAGACTTAACCAATACATTTTTTGAGCATAAACTTTGGATGGCTAAAGACATGTAAGAATATTCAAATAAACAACAACATAAATGTTAATTTGATCACGTGACCAATTCCAGTGAAGCCCGAAAGGCTTCTCAGTAAATTTAATCATGTACCAATTAAGTTCATTTTCCAATGAACTTTTAAAATTTGTTGTTTATCACTTATATATTTACATTTGAAACGAATATATTCCGAGTAAAATTGTATTTATTACACGAACGACAGTAGTATAGGTGTGTTGTGACGCGCAACCACCTAGATGTTTGGTCTTTATAGTTTAGCTCGCACCGATATTTCAACACTTACAATGATGTTCACAAATCCATTTCAGAAATTCCTTGTTTATAAAGTAAGAACAATGATTTATACTAAGAATAACCGTTTTAAATTATGAGTTCTTTATTAATTTGAAGTCAAAAGCGGTGATATATCCAATTTAAATTTACATTACATCAAAAGCATTTCGGGTTAAAAGGTATGTGCGATTTCGGCTAATGAATGTATCTAAAAATATTTTAAACACCAATAAATCTGTTGACAATTTGTTGACTGAAAAAAAATCCACATGTTATAATTATGTCGCCCCGAACGAAGTCGGGGACGACATATTGATATTGTACGCATGTTTTTTTTATCCAGGCTGTTTCTCGGAGATGGCTGGGGCAATCTTCCTGAAACTTTCCTCAAAGGACGATCACTTGTTGTAGTTGTGCAGTGAGGTCGTTCAGTTCCAATATGTCTACCGTTGCCATGGAAACCTGTAAAAAGCGACGAATTTTGTCCGAGAGTGTTCTCTCTGGTCCCTTAAACATTCGTAATGAAACTCTTTTTATTTTAATGATTAGTATCTGTAGTTGTGCGCCTTGCATTTAAAATTTTCAAATACTCGATTATTGCCATGGAAACCAGGGGAATGTTAAAATTCTTTAATTTCGATTTTCTCAATAACTACTCAAGCAATCGTTTTGAAACTTTCAATGTTAATTCCTTGCAATGTGTCAAAGTGATTTTTACTTTTAAAATAATTGTAATGAGTCGCTCACAGTTGTCATAGAAACGAAACAGAAAAAAAGGTTAAGATGTACACATGTGTTCTCCAAGGTCTAGGTCAAAGGGTGAAAGTTCTTCGTGTCCAATAAAAGTTCTTTTCACAAGGATTACATATTTGAAATACGAAAGCCCTAGCCCTTACCGTTCAAACGTAAGGTACTATGTTCAAGACGACCCCCCCCCCCCCCTTTTGAAGCGCACTGCCAGTTAGAATACACATATCTAACATATACAACTTACAAGTAACGTTTTAAAAGTTTCATTCATAAAATTCAGTTCTCCTGATGTGATTTCATAGTTTGCCAACCTTCATTCTTCTTCTGTCTTGTCTCTAGATTTTATAATTATTTTATTTTATCTATATCTAAAATAACGATTGTCAACTGCATTTATTAGCATTTCGCATTTTTTTGTATATCTATAACTTGTATATTATTAATTTCATTAGATAGTGCAAGTATAAATTAGAAAATTGGTACGTTATTTCCATAGTTTTTATTCATTCATAAATCCTAGGATCCGCTCCTACAAGTGCGCTAAGCCTTGATCACTACTGTAAACAAAACATTCATCTCGCCGAAAATGTTCACGATTCCGCTAAACTGAGAAAGTTTACACATGATTTATCATCTCATAAGAAACATCAGCCCTGTACAATGCAGAAATGCTCGAATTGAAGGTGGCATGTCAGATTCGTTTTCCGGCAGAACCTCTAAAAATGAAAGTGAAATTTCAGAGTTCTAACTGGCGTTATAATACACAAAATAATTCGGCTGATCTTCTTAAAAAATTACATTTGCCAAGCTTTTTTGGTAGGAAAGATATACTGCCAATTAACAAGTATGAGGCTCAGTTCAGTACATCTGCCCAATTTCTTTTATGCAAGTCTGCAAATTTAGGAACTTGTAATTTTTTCCTGCACTACTTTCTTCTCCTACCGATTCTAAAAATGAAAGTCTTGTCCAGTACGGGGCGACATATGCTATTGCTTGCAATAGCACACTTTCTAGTTATTTTTTTCTTTTTCTATCCCTTTAACTTAGTAATTCCGAAAGCAGACGGGATCTTGACAAAAATATATTTACAATGTATAAATTTGAATTGAACATATTTTAATGACAAAGTCAAAAGAATCGGACACAAGTTTATAAACTTAGATAGTCCTCTCCTAATACAACATTTTGTATAAAAAAACATATATGCATAATTGTATGGTCTGCTACTACAAATACATCGTAGCTACAGAAAAAAGGTACTATAAATGTAGAAGTATAATTTAAATCGGTAAGAAAAAAAGTGAGCTTATTTTGAAAAACGACCATACTCATTTGATAAAGTTTAAATAGTCTTGAAAAAATCAATATTTTGTTCAATAGCAAGAGCACCATCGCCCCCATAGCATTAATTATTATGCTTCCTGTCAGTTGTCTCTATATAACCCATACCCTACTATTCTCTCATAGTGGTCTAAGGGCTTATATAGCGTAAGCATACTATGCCGAAATAGTGCACGGCTTTGTTTACTGAATAAAATTCTTCCATGCACACGCAGGGGATCAAACTCACGACCATGAGATTGTCAGTCCGATGCCTTATCGATTACGCCACAGAGACGATCACTGCTTAGTGAAATTTTATTAAATATATAAACTTAATTTATACAATTGACACAAGAAGGAAAAAATAGACAAATATTATTTGAAAACAGTTGTATTATTCCAAGGAAACTTAAATTAAAGTATACAACAAAGTTTCAAACTAATAACATACAGATTGTTAGATGAACTGATTTCATAGGGTCATTAAAACGCTTATTTATATGACGCTTGATTGAAGGATGTAAAAGAAAATTATCAATGAGAATCGACGTCTGCAAACAAAAAAACAAAACAGAAAATAAAGATGAGTTGCTTTGGGACAGAAAATCCCGACTTATTTAGAGAAAATACTAGTAACCAAAATAACTAAGCATGCAACCAATTTTAGCATGAAGATTTTGAATGAGTTCTTGCAAGTGCGCTGTGTAAGCTCCGATATTTTCAGGAAAAAGTCAAATGGATTGCCGCATAAATAATTAATTAACAGTCAGCATAATAATAACAATAGTGTTGCATTATGCATGTACTATGCCTAAATAGTAGGCAGGGTTTGACACATAGTGCACTCGCCTGCGGCTCGTGCACCATGTGTCAAACCCTGCCTACTATTTAGGCATAGTACATGCATAATGCAACACTATTATATAAATATACATCTTTAACATTTACATAATTTATGACAATAGTTATTTATTACGGAATTCTTTGCTTTCATATATTATTTACAAGCGAAAATCAAATGATATGCATCTTCTAGTAGTCCACAAGTACAATTAGGACTGGTTATTAGGTAACAGCGATACAAGTAAGAATTTAAAATACAATATTATGACTGTCTTTATCTTGTATCTATTATGTTCAAAAACATTTTTCAATTTGAAAATATTTTTGAGGGTTTACAAAACAGTTGTGCTGGCTGGTTTTATTTTTTTTTAGATTAAAAAAACTATTTTGATCATTTCGGAAATAATCTGTCTTTCTGTAGGTCTGTATTATATATTATTATGATGAAGTTTTAAGATAGCGATCTAAAAAATGCGTCAAATAGACAACATAAGGTAAAATCTACCATGTCTATCAAATAGTATATTAAAGAAAGGAAGTGGCTACAATTTTTATGAAATTTTAATGTCCGATGAGGAATTATATTCCCAAAAAGTAAGACAAGAGTTTCCAAGGCGCAATTGAACACTCCATTATTTCATTTTTTTTTCATTAACATGTTCATAAACGCAAAAACTGTAAGAAATGTGAAAATTTGACTATGTAATTTATATTTGAATATGACTGTACCTCGATCTATATTGAGAAATTCAATGTATTATAAGTTCATGAAAAGATGTACACACTTGACTTTTATTTATACCCCCATCCCCACAAAAAAGAAAATCCTGTTCACATGATTTCTCGCTTTCAATTTTCACACAAATGCATAAAATAAAGGTAAAATAGATTATCTTGTATCTATTAAAATATAACCAAAAAAATTTACGGTGTCTTTGAAATAAAAATGTCCATGCTAAATTGACATAAAAAAAAGATACAGTAAAACTCGGTTACAGCGAAGTCCTGGGGACCTGTGAATTTAATTCGCTACATCCGTAATTCGTTATATCCGTATAACAAATTCGTATAACCATTATAGCGAATTCGCACTATGCATGTTTTCTTTCAAGTATTACTACCAACTATGTTAGTGAAGGAAATATAACAAAACATATCTCCGATAAATGCTAAAAGGAAATAAACTAAGTTCAATTTATCATTTTCTTTTATAATCTTTGAAAGTTATAAAAGATGTAAATATCATTTTATTTAACCTCAACGGGACTCAAAATCAGTTCGCTATATCCGTAAATTCGTTATATCAGAGTTCGTTATAACCGTAAAATTTTACAAAGATTTGTTAAGGATTTTGATGGGAACCCATAAAAACGCTATATCCGTGAATTCGCTATATCCATGTTCGTGCTAAACGAGTTTTACTGTACTCACCTTCAATTAGCTATTTTCAACCTGTTTTCCCGTAGGTATCTTATTTTATTTTCTTCTTTATAATAACGTTAGTATTCTATTATGGCAGAGATATACAAATATGACTCGCTTATACTGTACTCTCTAACTGTTAGGAATAATTTATATTTCAAGTGAAAGGGGTGCCCTACATTTTTCAGTAAAAATACATAACACGGCGTTAGTCGTTCAATTTCTTTAAAGTTTCACATTTTGTGAATAGTGCACAACTTAGGAAATTAAGTATATGGAATACTTTAATGGGATATAAAGACAAACGA